TTGTGAGCATTAAAGTCACCACACCATAATTCTCGTCTATGTATTTTTCCTGCTACTTCTTTAAACATTTCACTATCAAGACTTTTACAAGGATTCTAGTAGTTTATAATTTTAATATTTCCATATATCCTTAAGTTAAATATTTCTATATTAACACATTCAAATTCTTTGTTCATTATGTTTTTCTTATAAGCTATTMCATCTTTAATTAAAGTGGCACATCCACCTCCATTACCATAACTTCTATCCCGTCTTTCTATGCTATATCCAGGAATTTTAAAATCTAGGTTAGGTATCCTCTGTGTTTCTAGAATACATATTACATCCGGGGTTATTTCTAACTCATAAATAAACTTTTTAAATTCTTGTCCATTGGCTATTAAACTTCTAGCATTCCATTGAAGAATATGTAGAACCATTATACAAGCTTGAATCCTAATCCTGAGCATTTTCTGTTGTTTCGGTGGCACTCAAAATGGTATGAATCTGATCTGCTTGGACTTTTCATATCCAAGAATCTTCCTGCTACTGTTACGATTGCTTTTATTTTATCACTTTTCTTCTTCATTTGTACTGTAACATTGATAATATGGCACATAAATGCTACAAAGTTTTCTTTTTTCACCACCATTGAGTTTTCATCCACTCTACATTTATGCAAGCATGCTTTTTGTATATTTGTTGTTGGTACCAAGATTTGTCTTTGGTCATTATGCTCTTGATTTGAATTCCAAGTTGTGTTTCTTTGATCTATTTCTCTTGAGTCATATTTCCTTACTCTTTTTAAAGCTTCAGCATATGAAACTCTTTCTGTTATTTTGATTCTTTGAGCTTCTCTAGCTTCCTTTTGTATTTTACATCCACCATGTGCTGCACTATGATCTCATTTGCAGTTACATTTGATTTTAGCATCCTTATCGCACTTTCCACATTCACGTGGCTCTCCACATCTTGCCTACAAAACAACAAGGCTCAACTCAACTTATTAGCTTCTGGTGAAGGGAGGAAGTCACTTCTGTTAGTGGCTGGCCTTCAAAATGAGAGCTCCAACTGAACTGCTCTTGAGTGCTACGTAGTTAGTGTTGAGAAGCAGGTCACTCCAGGCTCTTATTTTGAAGGCCAGGCAGCAGACACTACCAGAAGTCTTCCAGTATCACCGCAGCTAGCTTTATTGTTCTGTAGCTATGAACTAATGGTGTGTCCCGTGGCCTGCTGCTCAGAAGAGTTGAACTCAGAGTTATATTGAGCTCTAACAGCTCGGTAAATGTTGATGAGATGTGGAGACAGCAGGTAAAAACAGAGGAAGAAGAGAAGTCGGAGGATTTTATGTCTGCTGATCAGGAACAGACAGAAAACAACATGAATATACAGATAGAAGCTGTTTACAGCCTCAGCCATCAGCTGCAGACATCAGGTTTGAGTTTTTATTCTTTCTCTTCAATGTCATCATGTTACAGTTTTGCAGGTTTAATGATAACTAATGGGTTTAGTTTATAGGTGGGCTCTAATTCAACCTGATTATGGAAGTGGAGAGTACACATTTTCACATATACTAGGGATGTGGATAAATTTTTAATCCTACACCAATTTTAAATCTGACAGCAGATTCCAAAAGAACATTACAAACCATACAAAATAACACCAAAATCATGTGATTATCTCAAGTATGAGGGAAGTCACTGATGTACACTCACCGGCCACTTTATTAGGTACACCACGCTAGTAACGGGTTGGACCCCCTTTTGCCTTCAGAACTGCCTCAATTCT